TTGCTAGAGCAATAAGACAAGAGAATGAAATTATAGGAGTACTAATTGGAAAAGAAGAGGTCAAACTATCCCTTTTTGCAGATGATACGATACTATATATAAGAGATCCCAAAAGTTCCACCAGAAAACTCCTAGAACTGATCAACACTTCCAGGAAAGTGGCAGGTTAAAAAAAAAATCAATCTACAGAAATCAGTAGCCTTTCTATAAACCAATAAAAGGCGATTGGAGAAAGAATACAGGGAAATGCCCTTGTATCTTGGAAATATACCTTACCAAAATATTATTCCAAGATACCCAAAAATATCTTGGAATAAAACTTACCAAAGATATCAAAGATCTCTACAATGAAATTTTTAATTTTTTTAAAAAAGAGATTGAGGAAGACACCAGGAGAAGGAAGGACCTCTGTAGCCCAAAAATTACTCATTCCTCCGAAAAGAGTAAGCCAGCAAAGGGGCAAGAGAAGCAGCACCCTGGAAAGTGGGTGGAGCCCACTGCAATAAGGTGATTTAGAACAGACATGTTGGAACTCTGGAAGCGATGGGGGAATAGTAAGGCATCACAGTGTGGGGCTTGAATGGCACTTGGGGATATGAGAAGCCATTTCTTAGTAAGTCATCCTCTCCCAAAAGTATAGACTATGAAAAATTCAAATAGGATGCTTTATGTTATCTGTTAGCCCTGGTGCTTCAGAGGGTGCCAGCATGAGTCTTCCAAGAAGGGAGGAGAAAGGAAAAAATTTGGTAAAATAACCTCCCATGTTCATGGATTGGAAGAATATTGTGAAAATTACCATCCTACCAAGGGCAATATATAGATTCAATGAAATCCCAATCAAAATCACCATGACATACTTCTCAGAATTAGAAAAACCTGTCTTTAAATTTGTATGGAAGCACAAAAGACCTCAGATAGCCCAAGCAACCCTAAGCACAAAGAGAAACACTGGGGGGATGACTATACCAGATCTCAAAGTATACTACAGAGTTAGGGCCATAAAATCATCATGGTATTGGCACAAAAATAGACACAAAAATAGACACATCAATAGAGCATCATTGAAGACCCAAACCTGTGTACATGCAGTTTCAGCCACCTGATATTTGACAAAGCTGTCAAGAAGACACAATGGAAAAATGACAGCATCTTCAACAAATGGTGCTGGCAAAACTGGATCTCCACCTGTAGAAGAATGAAACTAGATCCTTATCTTTCACCTTGCACAAAAGTCAACTCCAAATGGATCAAAGACTTCAATGTGAAACTGGAAACCCTGAAGCTCTTACAAGAAAATATTGGCAATAGCCTGCAAAATTATAGGTGTAGGAAAGGACTTTCTAAATTGGACACCAGTACCTCAAGAATTAAGGTCAACAATCAACATGTGGGACCTCGTTCAACTAAAAGTCTTCTGTACAGCAAAAGAAATAATCAAAATGAAGAGAAAATTTACAGAGTGGGAAAAAATCTTCACTGGTGACATCTGACAGAGGTTTAACATCCAGAATATATAAAGAACTCAAAAATAAAGAAGCAAGAAATCAAATGACCCAATGAAAAGATGGGCTAAAGTTCTAAACAGAGAGTTCTCAAAGGAAAAAATAAAGATGGCTAAGAAACATCTTTCTAAGTGTTCAACATCATTAGTAATTAGGGAAATGCAAATTAAAACCAACTTAAGGTTTTTCTCTACCCCAGTCAGACTGGCTAGGATCAAGAGAACAAATGATATCAAATGCTGGTGAGGATGTGGAGAAAGGGGAATGCTCATTCACTGCTGGTGGGATTTCAAACTCATGCAACCCCTATGCAAAACAGTGTGGGGAACTCTTTAAAAAAGTAGAAATGACCCTACCATATGACCTGGTTATACCACTCCTTGGCATATACCTAAAGGACTCATCCTATTGTATAGACACTTGTACAGCCATGTTTATTGCTGCTCTTTTCACAATAGCTAAGAGATGGATGCAACCTAAGTGCCCCCCAACTGACAGGTGGTTAACAAAAATGTGATACATTTACACAATGGATTTCTATTCAGCAGTAAAGAAAGATGAAATAATAAAATATGTAGGTAAATAGATGGATCTAGAAACTGTTATACTAAGTGAAGTAACAGAGACTCAGAAAAAAAAAAAGATGTGTGTTCTCCCTCATTTGTCAACACTGAAACCAAATAATTTTTTTTTATTTTATGTGTATGTGTGTATTGCCTGCATGTAGGTAAGTACACCCATGTTGTGCAGTTCCCACAGAGGTCAGAAGAGTCTATCAGATCCCCTGGGAATGGAGTTACAGACAGTGGATAGCTGCCATGTGGGTGCTGGGATTCAAACCCAGGTCTTCTGCAAGAACAACCAGTGTTCTTAACCACTGATCAATCTCTCCAGCCCCCGAGCACCAAATTCTTATAAGTGAGTGCATATCTTGAAACAACTGCAAGGACCAAGAATATGGAAGGGAAACAGGGAGGTAAAGGGAAAAAAGGAACCCAATAGAGAAGAATAATAGGATAAAGGTGTTACTTGGGAGAAATATACAAAAAGGGGGTAGGTAAAGGGGGAGGGAGGGGGAAGGAGGGCTATACAAAGAACTATGGGAATAAAGGGGAAAAATTCTCCAGATACACAGTAAAAAAAACAAAAAAAATCCTTAAGCACAAAAGAAACCCTATGGGGATGGAAGAAATCCATTCCAGAAGCAATACAGTTGTTAAATGAAAATCCCAGTTACATAAGTGGGTTGCCCTGCTATGAGCTGTTGGCCTGAGGAGCCCTGGAGTTCTCCAAAACAATAAAGGCCATTGTCAATAATGTTGGTTGTACACCGGAAGTGAACAAAGGGATACTATTGCTGAAAACACTGCTTGATATGAGTGTAGGAGAGGGCAAAATCAAGCTTGAGCTAAGCTGGAAACTCTCTGCTACTAGAAGGGTGGCTTTCTTGGTGCCAATAGATGATATGCAGATGATTCAGGGAGAATCAATGCCTGTAATTCTGCTCAATGATGGACCCCCTCATGTTCCACTATCAACATACTAAACAAGATGTTCTTGCTGATGCAATAGTGGAGCATCTAGTGTAATACAACCAGTAAATTTCGATTGGATAAAATACCCACTCCTAGGGGTGGAACACATATCTGGTACTGTAGGCCAGACCAACCCCCTGTGGCAGTTGCAATTGTTTTGTTAGATTGAAGTCATAAGTTAACTTATGGGTGTACCATGTACCTGCTAAAGTACTGTCCAAGTGTTTGTGTCTACACCCATAGGTTAAGTAAGTTAAGTTATTATAGCAGAAACTGTTTAGATGTTCTTGCTTCTTACTGTTTGTTTTTATAATAGATGGAATCCCACTAAAATGGGTCAATAACCCATGAAAAACAGATGATGCAGAGACCCAAAAGTTCAGTGCCTTGCCACAATAGGAGGAAGATGATCCCACACCAACCACCCCCTCCAAAGCTCAGGGACTTTGGAGGAAGAGTTTGGGGGGAAGTAAGAGCCTGAGGGAGGGGTGGAGTGTTAACTGAAAGCATTCTCTGACCACTATGCTGGCAAGCTATAATCACACCTCCTGCCCATGCTCATCAAGGAGTCAAGGGGGGAGTCAGTTATCCTTCCCACCCAATCAGTGCACCTTAGCTGAATGTCGGGGAGGGGCTAAGGATATACAAGCCAAGAATGCCAGGAGGCATCTCTTTCACTATTTTCTGTGGCTGTCAGGAAGTCACAGGATCTATATTTGAGTGTGGACTTTCCAGTGCATCTGTAAATGGGGGGCACCCACTCCTCTCTAAATAAACCCCCACTGTATGCTCTATTAGAAAAAAAGGAAATGATAGGTGTTTGGATAGATGGATGAGAGGGATCTGACTAAACAGCAAGTGGATGGACTTGTACTGGGGAATGTCTGAGGACACTGACTTGACACAATGGGCCTTAACACCCAGAACAAAGTATATATAGGTTCCAGTGGGAGAGGGGGCTATGGAAGGGTGTTGGTTGGGACAGGGCTATAAAGATGATTCAGATTGTTTAAGATATTCTGTATGAAATACAACAAAAGTTAATGAAAATAATTTTTTAAATTACAGATTTATGCAGAAAATAAATATTTTATTATAATTAATAAGTTCTCACATTTATATAAATGTAATATTTAATGCAAATATAATCTGTGAATGACATATTGAATTCTATTAATATTTCAATTGTTTGTTCAATATGAATTACTTTTAAATTTAATATTTATGAACACATAATAATTATACTGTACATACTTTGCAAATGTTAAAAACATTTATAAACACATGTATCTACACACACATGCACACATACACAGACATCACACTTATTCGTTTCTTATTAAAACCCAGTTTAACATCTACATACGTGTGTACTTGATAAGAGAAGATCCTAAACAAAAGTGTTGGAAATATACTCTAAGGATATTTTAAATAAATTTTATTAAAATGTGAAAAGCTTGCAGAATAAACAGGAAACAAATTAACAAATTGAAGAAGTCATTGTCCTTCTAGGCTGAAATGCTATGTCAAAAAATAGTACCCATTTTTGTAATGGTAGAAATAATTAGAAAAATTTACATCTTTTTATGTGGAGGTTAATGCTTGTATTTGAACTTATGTGTGCATATGCAATCTGTATTTTGGATAAGATAAAGGGAGTCATTAAGAAATTTTGTGGAAAATGAAAATGAATGTCCAGACTTCTCAATAGATTTATAACATATCTAAAAATTTATAGAGGAAATAATTTTATATATTATTCCAAAATACTCTTTCCTAGGGCTGTCACTTATATGAGCGGTAGAACAGGGAGCTAAAAACAATTGGCTATCAAATGTGGTTATATGATCAATACAGAAGGAAATATATACAGACAGATAATCTCAGGCTATTTTTAATGCTTTGATCCAAAAATTTAAATAAGTATTGATTTAGTATGCAATAGTATATTTGAAAACCTTACCTTCATCATTTTCATGTGGTTTTGAAATTTCAGAAGTCAGGTATGGAACAGTATAGGAAATTGCTCCAAGTCCTATCATAAAGGATGAGAATGCCATCCATTTTGTCCTGCTTCCTCTACCTCCATAGTGTGCTACAAATATTACTACCACAAAAGAGGAAATATCATAAGTGAAGGACAATGCTAATTTTTCTGTCTTACTCAGATAATAGTTCTTTTCAAGATGCCCAGTACTCAGATCCACAAGACCAAACATAATTCCTAAAATGTCAAAAGAGAAACAAAAGACAGTAATAATGCATTTTAACACACAAAATATATCTCTTTTAGAATCATTCAAATAAAATGTTAATTTACATTGATTTAAAAC